GTGTGTGTGTGTGGTGTGTGTGTGGTGTGTGTGTGTATTTATGAAGATGGTACCCATAGCATTGTCAATCCAGGTGTTGTGCAACTATATTTTTCAGTAACCGGTTTCTTAGCAACCCTTCTTTTCTCTAACCTAAGCTGCTTGATTTTACCAATCCTCACCGTGATGTCGAAGTGTTTAAAGCCTGTCTGGCCATGTTCAATCTACTATTCTCTCCGGCCTTACATCGTCATTATGCTGCACTCTCAATCTATTTGTTGCCTTTCAGCACAATCGTATTGAATTCCAACGCCATTGTCCCTGTGTTAAATAGATAGTGTAGATTTGCTGCAAGAGAACCAGGCTGGTGTACATTAATGTCATCCCTCTCCCCAGGCTGCCAACTCTCTAACCCTTGTAATATTACTGCAGCAACACTCACCCTTTCTAACATTACTCTTCCGTGCTGCAAAGAGACATAACTTTTCCACAGTAGCGCTCCTGAATCCCAGTTGCTCCAAGTTCAGTTATTTCAATGTCTCCCTATTAATGTCAAAACCCAAAAATCCTTTTACTCCAGTTGGTAAACCTTTGCTTTCTCCCAGGACTCCTATATTCCTTCAATTCCAGCTAAGTTTCTTCCATTACAGTACATATTTGTTTGGCTCTTGTTTTTCATTAAGGAGTTACATGTGTTCAGAGCATTTCACAGGTAGCTGAAAATCAAAGAAGTGCTTTACGGTATCTGACATAATTCTGAAGTGTTGTTGCCTTTGCTCACAGCGAGCTCACAATAAAGGTAATAGCCGGAGGTTCAGTTTTAATGTTGGTTGAGGGATTGATATTGGTCAGGACATCAGGGAGAACATCCATACTGTTCAGCAAATAATACTTGGAATCCTTTGCCCCCACCCTAGCAAGCTGATGGGCCATCATTTGATCTGAAAGGTGGCCCATCTGACAGTGACATTGCCAAAGTCACTGGCATTGATATGCCAGCCAAGTTTCCAGATTGTGAATTGAACCTGCAATCCTCTGGCTCAGAGTTGAGAGAGACACCAAGGAATTTTGATGGACACCAAGAAAATAAAGCGCACCAGTCAGGAATGAAAATGAAATATTTTGAAAAAGAAATCAAAAATTAACAGAGTGCGACAGTTGCTAATAATTCTTGCCGAAGTATCCCGCTTTTACTTTGAAACGATATTGACTTTTATCCCCAGTAGAAAAAAACGATAGGTCAGCTGCTCACCCTGTCCTGCCTCCATAAGATCCAAAGGTGGGCAGATTGAAACAGCATTGGGATCAGCCATTATGTTTACTGGTTAAGATTCACCCCAACTTGCCAACGATTCCCAGAACTAAGCTTCCTCATTAACCACACAGGGGAAGCTTTCTGAACACTTCATGAAAACTCTAGGAAATACATCAATTTCCCTCCTCAAAAAATTAGAGGCAACATGTAAGCATGACTGATTTACTGCTAAAACCATGCCTATTGTTTCCTGCGATACTCAAAGCCTTTAGAAGCTCATTTGTTGCATTCTACAGAATGCCTCCAGCATTTTTGCCGCTATGGGAGGATAATTGGCTTGTAATTACTAAGTGCATGCTTTAGTCCTCCTTTGAATATTGGAAAGACATTTTCCATACTTCAGTTTGTGGGTATTTCTCCAGTATTTATGAAGGTCTGAAAAATATCATCCAAGGCATGACTAATTTCCTGCTTAAATTCCTTACAGATTTTAGGATGTATCCCATTTGGACCAGGACCCTCACGAATATTTAATTGTTCCAATTCCTGCATAGCATATTCCTTACTAACTGGAACACTTCATCCCATTTACTATGACTGAGGACCTGACCCTGTTTTCAACAGGAAACCAGATCAAAGTCTTGCATCCATTACATCACACATAAAACCTATTAGGATGCCCTCAGAGAGAAATCAGGAGGTCAATTTTTTGGCAAACATGGGGTGGTTTTCAAGGAAGGAGCGGCAGTAAAATCAGCACCAGATGATGATGTCTCAATTGCCTGATCTTCTGCCTCCTCCTTCCAACTTTTCAGCGAGGTAGTGATGGTCTTCTGCCCAGTAGCCGTGGAAATACAATTGACTGAACTGAGGAGTCCGGCGACAATGCTCCTTAAAGGAGGACAGCCAATTTGACATTGTCACACACACTAGCTGCATCCTCAGAATGGTCCATGAACTACAAAATTGTGCAAGCTCATACAAAACCCTCTTTTAGTTTTTGAGTGTTTCACTTTATAAAAGACCAGCAAGCACAGCATCATCGTGATTTAAACGCAATACAACGGAAATTTTGTAACTGAAGTGTTGAAGCAATTTATTTAAATAAAACAAACTAAATCATAAAATCCCCACAGTGTGTAAAGAGGCCATTCAGCCCATCAATTCTGCACGAACCCTCCAAAGAGCATCGCACTCAGATTCACCTCCTACCCTATCCCTGTACTTCCCATGGCTAATATACCAAGCCTGCACATCCCTGGACACTATGTACAATTTAGCATGGCCAATTCATCCAACCTGCACATCTTTGGACTGTGGGAGAAAACCAGAGCAGCCAGCAGAAACAGGGGGAATGTGCAAACTTGGTCCCCAAGACTGGACAGACCAGTTCCCTAGTACTGTGAGGCAGCAGTTCTAACCACTGAGCCACCGTGCCACCCGAATCAATAAAGTTAATCACAAAAATACAAAGTAAGGATAAAATTGTATATGAAAATGAGATTCGTCTCTGCTGTCTTTGCAGGCTTGGCTTGCTTGAAGATTCTCTTTCTGAACTGAAGGGGTTGCAAACTTAAAGCCAAAATTTACCAGTTTTGTTGGTTTTTGTACTCAAATAGTCAGAGCTTGCTCCCACAGATGGACTGAGCAGAACTAGATCTGGGAATGAGTGAAGATTCCTATGTTTTGAATTTAGAGCAGGCTGTGTCTCCCAGGAGCCTGGTTTGGTGCAGCAGGACTGGATATCCCCCTCTTGACCTCGCTATTGACTGCTTCAAGCAGATTCTCTCATGGTCTCACGGATTTTTTTTTTTTACAAATCCAAATTTAAAATGACTGCCATCCACAAACTGTTGTGTCAGACTTACAAATTAGTTATTTTGTTAGCCTAGGTATGGGCAGGCCAGGAAATATTCTTTTCTGAGGGCTCTTGAGATTTTCTTGAAGACTAGTTTTGATTTTGTGGCCACATTTTGGCTTTAAGAGCTCCTTCATCATTCTCATGAACACGTTAGTTAGGTCATACAGTTATGTGATTACAATATCTTTTGTATTTGTGTTAATATATTTGGAGTCACACGGAAGCAGAATTAGAAGAATTCACCAAAATGCTAAATAATTATTAATCCTTTGTTAAGTTTAAAGCAACAATACGTAAGGAAAGCATTTATTTCTTAGACACAACATTTGAACTGACTCATGACATTAGGTATAACTTAATAATAAAAGTTCTCTTCACATGAACTGATACACTTCTACATTCAACAAACCATCACCCTAAACAAACCTTCCATTGAGTAGTGATGTCACAGCTAATGTGCTTCCATTGCATATACATGAGGTGCAAGATTTTAATCAGTCAGTTCCGTATGAAATCCTTCTTACAGTATCTCAGATCTAAATTTAACAGTGATCATAGCAATTGTATCCATTACATTTTCCTCCCCAGATAGTAGCTTCTGAACTGCTGCAGCCTTAAACTAAAAATTTTACATTAACTTCCAGGGAATTTGCAAAATCACTGACCTGGGTAGTCATGTGACTTCTGGGAGCTATTTTATAAGATTCCTTCAGGTCACTTTAAAGACACATTAGCTTTCCTTATAAAGTATATAATACTATTACCACATATTAATCACAATTGGTGTTGCCTGAACTGTTCCATACACCAGCACATTGAAGGAGGGACTTGCACAGTGAAAGGTGGAGGTTGAAGGATCTTTAAATTATGTCAACAATAAATGGCAAGGTTGCTGCCCATCCACCTCACAACTTTGTTATTATTGACCGTACAATTCCTAGGGTCAATTGTCTCTGATCGGCATGTGTCTCGTGAGGTCTCAGCCACTAGCCCTCTCGTCCCCGTTGCTATCAGCAACTGTAGGGTTTGTCTACTGCTCCTGCATACTAGGCCTCCTCAGAATTTCGACTGGTCACGTTGGGGAATGTGTCTTGCATTACCCAGCCTCCATCGCTAATGTCTAACATGGTAAAAGTGGTGGTGACCTATGAGATAGCTGCTTCCTGTAAAGGTTGGTTGGTAGGCACGATAGGATGTGGAGCTGAGTCAGCACTCAGACATGGTCCTGATGTCTCATTGCCGGTAGTTGTAGCAAAGGTCAATTCATCATATCCCAAAAGACCAAACATGTGTTGAAATGTGAGAAATCATCCTGGGCCCCTTTTTGTAACCATCAAAGTGTACAGGCTGCAAGCCGGAATCTGAAATCAAAAGTAACAATTAGGTCTCAATGGAGAATGATGAACCAGTGGAAAAATCAATCTGTTGTCATTTGATTTAATGTAAATCTGTTTACCTAGTAAATGGTCCAAAGATAACCAATCGAAACATTTCTGCGGTGTTTTCATAAATGATATTCTTTCTTCAAACAGCTTATTATCTTTTATATGATCTGATAACATAAAAAGAGGCCATTTAGCTCATTGTACCTCTGCTGGTTCTTTGAAAGAGCTAGCCACATTGTCTCAGTATTCTGCTTTCTCCCTATAGCTCTGAAAAGGTTCCAATCAACTATGTCACAACCAGGCACCAATTCATTTATAGTGAATCTTCAATTCATTATAGTTCCAGACAAGATATACCAAAGTGTGATGATTCTGTGTGAGGACAGATGAACTGGCTTCTGTACTTTATTCTTCGAAACCCCTTGGTTGATTACAACAAGGTTAATCTAAATGGGATCCCTTCCCACATGGACATCTTTCTCCCAGATCCAAATGAACTTGTGTTTTAAAAGAAGTCAAGTTAAGTAGGCTTTCTTGAATTATCAAAAAGACTGAGTTTATTAATTAACTAAGGGCAAGACGAATTAGTAATGCAGCACTTACATAAACTCAGAAATAAGCGAGTTTTGATGAGTTGAGCAGTAGCAGTGGAGTTTACCAGTAGTGTTGACCTCGGTAGTTTCCCAATCGGTTTAAAAATCCTTAGTTTTGCAGATTGGTTGAGTTTCAGTGACTCTGATCCCTTTTGACCAAGGTTTAATTCAAGAATTCAGGCTGAGAGAGAGTATGCTTTTGTTGTCCAGTTTCCCTTTCCAACTGGTTTTCGGTGCTTGGAGTGAGGAAGAGCCTTCCTTCATCTGCAACACAGGAGTAACGTAAGGGATAGTTCTTTGACTGTGACCTTCACAGTGACCTTAATGTGCAAACTTAAGATGACACACAAGATTGTTCAGTCCCACTAGTCCCCTCCAATAGAGTTGAAACTGGCTTTTAAACCCCTGTTCTTGTGTATTCGTCCAAAGGATAAACACAAAACCTGTCTACAGTTTGAGGCAAAATCCAAAAGGGGATGCCTTGCTGTTGAGAAAGGAATCATTAGCTTCTCGATATCTCTGTCACAGTCTGGTCTGTTTGAAGCTTTTTGGACATTTTAGATGTTGTGTTCCTGGATTCACTCTCTCTCGAAGAGAGAGTGCTACTTAATTTATAACTGCAGGTATCTTTGTTTGCATCATCCTTGTTTTTAATAAAACACATTTTGGAACTAAAGGCTGCGTTACTTGGGGTTCTGATCCATAACAACTTTATTTCCAAATCAATTTGAAAGATACTGCAGAATCCATTTTTCTCAACTTTGCAGCTAGTACTTTCCAGATTATAACAACTCTCTGCATAACTTCTTCTGCATTCTATCCTGTTGCCAATTACCTCAAATTTCTATTCTCTACTCACTAGCCCTTCTGCCACTGAACCAATAGCTTTCAAAACTAATAATAATAAAACAACTTTGCTTCAAAATGATGCCTTAATGTTAGAGATATTTGAAAGATGTTTCTCTAAGTCTGGCCTACCCTCCAGTTTGGAGCCAAGAATTCAAGTTGAAATTTTGCCTTGTCAATTGCTATAGCATACAAATTCTGACTTCGAGAGACAGAAACTGGTATCCGAGCAGCAGAAATCTAGCCAAATTTAAAGTTTTTATCAATATAAGACATTTAATAAAATTTCTGCATGAACGGTATTTGGGACTACTTTTTTTATACCTCTGAATATGATTGATATGTTTCCTGAATTCAGAAGGATAGGCTTTTGAGATGTTTTGGTGATGACCTTCGATGTTGCAAACAAGACTCATTCAGCGAGTCTTACTGAACTATAAAGTCCTAGACGTTCCGAACTCCAGATAGTTATGACATAGTCTGAAACCCTGGATAACCGTTGAGCCTCTCCCCATCAATTACATACCCCTCAAACCCTTAACAACCCAGAATCATTCTCCTCAACCATTCATGCCATCCCAACCACCAACTAACCCCAATCCCAGGGCTGAAAACCCCACCAGCCAATCTAACACCGTTGGACCTGGAAATACTTGATCGAACCTAACCTGGCCCTATTTGGGCAGAAACAGTGCAAGTTCTTGACCAGACCTGACCCAACCCAATGCAACCCAATCTGACCTGACGCCACTGGACCTGGCATTTATTCCTCCTACCCTTGCCCAACCTGACCCCTCTGGATTCGACAGCACTCACCCCCAACTCTGACTGCACCCATTCCCAGGACCAGAACTGACCCAGCCCAAAACAAAACCTCTCCCAACCTGACCCCCACAAACTAAACTGAACACTCACCTGGCACCCTAAGCCCCTCTCACCCACCCTAGCACCTTACCAATTTCATCCACCTTAGCAGCAGACAAAACTATGCACCGTCCTCAACTGTGGCATCAGGAGGCTGCATCAGTGTGAACACTGTCATGCCAGAAGTTCAAAGTTCAATATCTATGGGAAGCCTCATTGAAAATAAGCAACATCCAAGAGAATGAAGTGCCAGGCAGCAGCGAGATGACATTACTTGGAGAAATAAAAGAACCAAAACAGAAGTACTAGGCTGCTCATATAAAAGTAAATGGGCAGCAAATAATTTCTAAACTTGACACAGGAGATAATTTTATCAGTCCTCTCAAATGTGGTAAAATGGCTGAGGAAAGATAAACTCCACCATTCTATTCCAGGGACCAGGAGGTATCCAACTGAAAGCAAAAGGGAAGTTGACTGCAATATAAATACAGGGCAATCACTGAAACATTATGCATGATTTACATTCAACAATGTTACTTACAAAGCAGCAACAACAGCAAACCATTCACAAAATAAGATGGATTCATAACTGAATTCCCAAATGTTGTTCAGTGGCCTGGGGAAATTGACTACAGCTTACCACATAATGCTGAGGACAGATGCCAAGCCAATTCACCTATTCACAAGGTGGGAAAAGTCCAACAACCACATTTGGAAAAAGGCAAACAGCAAAATAGGGTGATGCTTCATCAAGGAGTGATTCCACTAGTGAGTACGTTAACTTATGGGCAATCTGGGCTGGTGCAATTAAGAATCTGTGTGGATTTTATGCACCTAAAGAAAGCAATAAATCCATCCATTGGCATCTGTGATGCAAGTTTGGCAAAGTGAGCACCATTCTCACCAAATCTGTTGCCCACTGTAGTTTCTGGCAGCTTCCAATGTCTTAATGTTATTAATAACACCATTTGGACAGTATTGCTTTCACTGTTTACATTTCAGTGTTACTTCTGTACCGGAAATATTCCAAAGAACATTGAGTGATTAGAAAGTGTGATGTATCAAGTGGATGACAATCCAATTCACAGCCAAACCACAACTAAAGAAGATAAAGAGGTAAGAGCAAGAAGCAGAATTAACTTTGAATGAAAAATGTGAGGTCACACAATGTACCACCAGGTTCTTGGGAGATCTTGTTCATGCAGCAAACATTATAGGAGAGCCACGGAAGGCTGGAGTTACCTAGGAGTTCCCTCAATCCAGAAGAGTCACAGAACTGCAGTTTCATGGAAATGATCAACAAAGTGAGAAAAATTTTACCAAATCTTGCTCAAAAAAGGGAACAATTGCAACAAATCTACAGCAAAACCAAGGATCATATTGGAAAGAAAATCATGAGAGGTTTGAGAAAACAAAGGAAACGCTTACTTATTTACCTCATCAGAAGTTCTAGCTTATTGCAACTCGGCCTATGAGCAATATTAATAGCTAATACATCATCAGGTCAACTGGGGCGATGCTATTCCCAATCCAGAAATGTGGGAAACATGGACCAGTCAGTGATGTATCCAGATCTTTAACAGAATTGGAATAAATGTAGGCTATAATTAAGAAAGAAACATTAATAACTGCATGGGCATGTGAACAAATTCAGATTAAGCCGGAGGCTTGAAAACCTACTATAATACATATCATAAGCCATTGGGAACATTGATGAATACCAAGTAAATTGCAAAAGTGCCACCAAGGGTCCAAAGATTCTGATTACAACTAATGAAATAAGACACTACAACAGAATATGCTCAGGGACAGTTAGCAAATCACAGGAGATATATTATCAAGAATTTCAATTGAACAACCAGCACAGTAGGACAAGAACCTTATTGAAGACGTGGAAGCCTTCACCTCCCTAACTAGCAGGTAATTGTCTACAATGAAGCAACAGGGAACTAGACAAGTGCCAAACAATTGCAAAGAATGAGTGAAAATGCATTCATACAATAAACACTTCCAGTGTCAGCAAGAGAACAGTAGAAAACAAAACAGGAGTGCCTTGATTTTAATGAGAAGAAAACCATTACTTATTCAGATCAGCTATCCAGACATCCAGGAAGACAACATTAACCAAGAGTTGAGTAATGGTTCACGGAATGCCAATGAAAGCATGGAGAACATAGATCCACAATTCCCTGTGAAGGATCAATGAAGAGGGTCAGGGAGAGTGGAGAAACCACCACAATGTTAATCCCTGTGAAACAGAGACTTTGGAAAGAGACGTAAGTGGATGTAGATATTGTATAAGAATAGAGACTTGGCAGGAGATATATAAAGGGTTAATGCTCAAATATGTAAATATAAGTGACATGAGTAATGATGCAAAAGATCGCATGATCGTGAGACTTTCAGGAAGGATGCTAATAAAATACTTTAAGGAATGTTGATTAGGCAGTAATTTTGAAAAGATATTGGAATCCAGGAGTATCTTTTAAGCAATGTCGAGGAGACAAAGTATTCCAAGACTAACACCACAATTGCAGAATAGTTACCTATTCCTATTGATGTATTGTTCTTACTTATCCATAAGCATTCTGTATTTCTGCCCCTCAATCACATATGCATTAATAAATGGTTTGAGATGGGCATTGAGATAGATATCATTTTCTATCCTGTTTTTCAACTGTATCCAAGCTAGATTCTGTTTCAACACATTGACTTGGAATGCTTACATTATTTAACAGTGAAATTCTTTTTGCAAACGTTGCCATCCCATCTACCATTTTTCTTTCTCACTAAATTACCTGGTCTGAATCCAAACCATTTCTCCATCATAGCTCTAATGAGATATATGAATTATTCTAATTCTTAAATTTCATTTTGAATGTTTGTGGATTCACATCCACACCTTTCTTGGAATTTTGATTTATATTCCTTTTAAGAGGTTTTCTCCCTTAAAATTTCATAATATTCTTTCCTTGCATAAAAACGTCTATTTTTATGGCGCACTACTTCACAGCCTCTTTCCTGCAGTTGTTTGAAAACCTTCAATAATTCAATAATTATTGAATAATTCAATAATTCAAGACTTGCTCTCTTGTCTTAAAAATATCAACTTCCACCATCCCTGTGTTACAAGTTTCAGTTTCTTCCTCTGCTTCACTTCACTTTTCAATAAGGGCAATAATTCTAATGAGGCCTGTCCATTTTCCATAGCCTTCCCTTAACCCAGATGTCTTTCCATTCCCCAAGAATGGGGATGATTCCTTAACGCAATAATCTCGTAACCACAATTTGCCCTTTCTTATCATCTCCTCTCAACCTTTTCAGAGTATGCTATAGACATGCTGTAGGCAACAATCCAGAAATGACTATCCTTGAGGATTTGTTTTTCAATTTAATACTTAACTCCGTTTACGAGACCTAAAGCGTACATTTATCAATGTCATTTATTACTACATAGACCACACATTTTTACACTCTCCTTTCTTTTCCAGAACTCATTTCAAGGTGTATTACACACTACTACCAGAAAAGGCAACATAGAATTTGCTTT